AGTATATATATTAGTTTAGCAAGCATATACACCTCCGAGTTCTTTACAGCATTAGCAGGTCAGAATATTCTGAAAATATTTTGTAAGCATACGTTATCAAAGTAGTGTTCTTATCTGACTTCTTATCTATAAAGACAAAATTAAATTTGAGAAAAGCTATCAACACATTAGAAGGTTGGATAACGTCCCTAGCTGACAGCACATAAATAACAACGCCAGTCGTCAATTTGGAACATACATTTATTCACATATTGAAATAGATATAAGACGTATATTATATGGCAGAGAGGATGAAATCGATGGGATTTCTTGGAGTAAATAGATCACAGATAAAAATTGCGTGTTGATTTAGGTCAATGAAGTATGAAATGGCAGATATGTCATGTTACCCAGACTTGAACTGAACATTTAAATAGTGAATACGAACATGACACAGAATCAAATACTAAATACTGAACAAAGACACTGTTTAGAATCGGTGAAAATTCAAGGAAAATAATACAAAAAAACATATTTGACAGCACATTAAAAATCTTAGCGACCACTCATGACACCAGTCTATGAAATTTAAAAACCCTCTCAAAGAACCTTCTAGAGAAAGGGCTGCGTAACAACACCAGGCCATTAAATGATGACTACTCTGTTATCGTGGAGGTAGCATGTGTGTGCATATCTACAGCCGATGTCTCGTCATTTTCTGCTCCCTGTTGCTCGGCGTCGGATAGCGTGGGCGACCCTGTTCGTGGAACGGGGAAAGAGAATTTGATGTCCTTCCCACTCATCTCCGATATCTCGTCCCAGTGCATGATCGTGTTAGCTGTGGCGTGGTCATGCCAGAAGGAGGCGACTTCAGGTTCGCAGCTGTCATCGAACCACACGTCCTGACTGTGCTGCACCCACTCTTCTTCCAACACCAGCCCTAGTAGTGAGGTTTAGCAGGTTTAGTGTGAATCCATACATGATACTCATACACACGCGCCTACTCTTCTTCCAACATCAGCCCGAGTGGTAAAGTTAAGGTTTAGTGTGAATCTACCCATGATATGCATCCGGTACATGATGAGAAATTATCGATGATCTTTCATTACCGGCAATAGGAGATCCAGGTGTTGGTGAAACTCGAATGAAAAAAACCCATAGCATTGTGCGGATACCGCTATTTATACAGGCTGCACTGTATTTTGCACGAGTGCATCAGTGCTATAAATTACACGCGTGTGCAGCATAGATTCGTATACTTCACTAGAACTCAGTTACGCTCATAGGGTCAATGTCCCCCAGGGTACTGCCGGAACGTACCCTGGGTACGGTCCGGTATACCGGAACGTACGCTGGTAACTATCTGATATGGTTAGGGTTAGGGTTAGGGAGTAGGCGTAGGCGACTCCCTAGATTCGTTAGTGGAGTAGGCGAGGTACGGTCCTGCATATTAGATAGTACCAGGGTACGTTCCGGCAGTACCCTGGGAGACATAGACCCTCTCAGCCTCAGTTACAATGAATGAACTACAGCACAGTAGTTCAATATTCACTCACTTACTTATTAAGCCAACACGATTAACAATCACAAAAGCAGAGGCTTACCTAATTCGATGGAGAGGGCCAGTGCTTTCTCTAAGCTGTTGCGGGCACCTGTCTGGTCTCCCAGCAGCAGGCTCAGGTATGCTTTCAGGTGGAGTAGCCGTGGCATCATCACAGGGAAGAACTTGACCGCTTTTGCGAGTTTCTTGACAGCCTGCACAGATTTCATGCGCGCTTACTTCGTAAACTAATACTAAATAAAGTGTAACACTTGATCTACTAGTGAGCGGCTGATGAGTACACACTAAACATGCGTTCGTTTGTCGTTCAAGTTAACCTCCTAGCAGGCCCAGAGAGAAAATATCATTACACGAAAAGGAATGCCAATATAGAGACACTTCATTAATATCTTCACCTGAACGACATGCTGCAGGTTAAATTTATTTCCTCAGTGTGCATATGACCTTAATGGATCCTAAATAATCTCTAATTTATTCAGATATCGTTTCTTGCATATCTGTCACAATTTCTGTGAGCTTAAAATTTGTCTGAAATGATTATGAGGCCTGACGTCTTGCTGTAGCTACCTCACGTACTGTGTCATGTTCTGTGTCAGTGTGGCAACACGAGAAAACTCTTACCAGCAAATAGCTCTGTCATTACAGTGATGATATGTATGGGGGAATCAGTGGCGTTACTCAGCTGGTGACCGCTTGGTTGAAAGGAAAATACCCCAAAAAATCTAACTATCTATCTATCCATGCATGCATCCATCCATCCCATTCCATGCCATCCCATCCCATCCCATCGCACCGCATCCCATCCCATATCCCATCTCATCACATTCAGTGCCATGCCATGCCATGCCATCCCATGCCATTCCATCGCACCACATCCCATCCCATGCCATGCCATGCCATCGCATGCCATCGCATGCCATCGCATGCCATCCCATCCCATCCCAAACAGTAAAAAATAATAAGAAATCAAAAGATAAAAGACATTAAAAATAAAAATAATTAATTAAATAAATTAATTAATTTGCCCACCATGAGGGAGCGGTGTTCAGATAAACCTCATGAGAGAGGGGTGTTCATATACACCTCATGAGAGAGGTGTTCAGATACACCTCAGGAGGAATTAAGGGGTGTTCAGATGCACCTCATGAGAGAGGGGTGTTCAGATACACCTCAGGAGGAAGGGGTGGTCAGATGCACCTCATGAGAGAGGGGTGTTCAGATACACCTCAGGAGGAAGGGTGTTCATATACACCTCCGAGGGGAGGGCCGAAGTGTCGCTTAGTTACTGTATAACATAGAAGGGGTTGTCTTATCTTTCAGGGGAAGGGTTGCCTGAAGGAGATAGGGCGTACTCCTGTACTGTGAAGAGGATCGGATGTCGGAGAGGAGGATGCTCAAGAAGGGGATCTATATGCCCACCTCCTGGGACGTGTGGTTGTACAGACTGCAGAGGAAGGAGAGTCTGCGTATATCGTTAGAGGAGGGATGCCATATCATGTCATTAGTCAGAAAATGGATCCCGTAGATTCACACAGCTGGTGCGATGCCAGAGAATCCTATAACATGCGTACTGCGCTAGGCAATTTACATGCAGGTCGATTGGCACTCCAACCGTTGCGTAACTTGTATAAATCGATGAGATGTCATTGAAAGGAGTTTGTTCATTTACACCTGAAAATTCATTGAAGATATAGCAGTATACAGGATACATCTGAATAGACACGGTGGTAAGAAAACCGCTTTCTTGTCATGCTAAAAAATTAGTGAACCAGTCGCCATTTAGAAGATTCGAATGAAGATGAGTAATACAATTACACTTGATCAAAATTGATGCTGGTAGGAACTAACCGATAACCGATGGATTTTGGTCGCTCAGCGGATGTGAGGCCACGTTGCAAGCTGCACTCGTTCCATTCACGTTCCCGTATCGTGTGTATTGATGGTGTTTAAATATTGTGGTATCGTGTGTTCCTTGAAGCTTAGATGATCGGATCTTTGCTCACACATGACGAATGACAAGAGTGTGGATGGTCACGTTCGATGACTTTTCTCTGTCACGGTACTCACGTAAGATGGCCTGGACGAGCAGAGATATGGTTCGTGCGTGCGTGCGAGTGGAGCCAGAGAACCTCACAGCTGCCTACATGGCTGTGCATGCCTTCTCCAAGTAGTAAGTGTGAGCTGTTGGCACTGAGTCAAGCCCGTGTCTGTTAAAACATATATCAAACAATGAAACAGCAAGCACAGCAGAGTAGGCATATTATAAATATATATCTATATATATAAGTTGTTCAGGCAAAATTTGTGTGTTCGCGCATTACTAGAGAACTCCGCAGCCTAGAGGAAACCTAATGATATTTTCAGAATCAGCACGTCTGGAGGTGTTCTGGCTGACAACAAACATTTTAAAAAGTGAAAGTGAAAATTCATAAAGCTATTGATTAATAGATGGCGGTCATGTACACGTAAACACAACATCACGCCTGAATCCATGGTGTATAAACGTGAGGGCGCAGTGAGCGATATCAGTCAACATTACAGTCTCTACACCTGGAT